ACAGGAGTTTTAAAACCTGAACGATAGTGAAATCTGGTTCCCCTTTGGATGGGGAACTTCAATGCTATAGTGGATTTTTAATCCATGTATGGGGATTTCATTCTGAAAGCCAATCGTATGAAAGAGTATGTAAACAGGCCAATGAAATGCCAACTAAATTGGCAGCCTTAGCTTGCGCACCTGATGCTTGTTGTAATCAATTTTGCATAAAAGCACAGCAAAAGCAAGATGAGGCATCCTTTTCGCTTCAGAGACTTCTACAGCCTTCTGAGAGAGTCGATAAGGGTTTCTCCTGCTGATATCCAGCGATTTCGAGTGAACGAGAGCGGTCTCCTGGTCCAGAGTGTGTACACGCGGCGACGGACGGTGGAGCTGAGCTTCTCCCTTGCCTGGCGTTCTTTGGATCTGGTCGTCCAGAGTGGTGCTTATAAAGTTGCTGGCTTGCAGTCTAACAATATCGCTCCCAAGCGAGCGAGCACGCGCGCATCCGCATGAATGCTATTTGTTTGTGTGTGTGTGTGTATGTGTGTGAATGAGAGAGAGAGAGTGTGCATCTCTCTCTCTCTCTCTCTCTCTCTGTGTGTGTGTTGAATGAGAGTGTCCTGCTCAGATATCTAATACGAACAAGACAAACATGTGACCGCGAACAGAAGGTCGCTTATATGGTGTTCATTTTCTGAATGGTTTAGGCACAAGCCAGCAGTTTGGCGACGCTGTCTGAGCCTCACGTCATAATTTTTTATTATGCACGTTAATACCGAATATCAGGCTTAAATAGGGAGGAGTTTTGACGGTATCAAAATTTCGATACCGCCCAAGCCTACTGCGTTGCATGTCTGGGGGTCCAGCATATTAATGTAATGCCCGTGGGCAGTTCATGTCATTCATGTCGTGGGCAGTTCATGTCGTCTGTTGCGCAGTTAAGATCGCGGCTAGTCCTTGCAAAAGGGCGAACCACCCCAGCTGTCCCCTGCACTGCAGCGGGCACTCGGGCAGGTTTGAGGATTCTAGTGGGAGATTATTCGTCGCCTCCAGACTCGCGGATCTCCCGCTCCTCCAAGCGCTCCATCCAAGCTTCGAGTTTAGGAAGCAATCCGTCTAACCAGATGGTAACCCTTACACTCAGTGACACCGGGGACCAGACGTCCACTGCTGCATCGGAGGGTAAATTTTCATTGTCCGACGAGGATCCAGACCTGTCAAAACAGATCCTGAAACAGACATGTTAGCCGTGCTTTCCCGGGCTGCTTTGGCTGTGGGGTTGATGATGGTTTATCCCCCAGCTCTGCAACCGGACTGACTAGATGGGTGCTACGTAGAGAACAAGAGGGCCAAGCCTTCGAAGCCTCTCATCCCCTTTTTCCCAGAGGTGCACAGTAGGCTCACGCAGTCCTGGAGAGCAACTTTTTCTGCCCGTGCTGCGTGTCCCTCCGAACTCACCACTCTTGATGGTGGAGCAGCCAGGGGCACTTTGTCCGCGTGGCACCTCTTCTTGGCGGGGTCTGCCTCATCTCCCGTCCAAAGCCTGTGGGTTATCTGCCTCCCTGGAGGATGCACGAGGATGGGTCCGACCCAAGATTGCCACACGAGCTACGCACCGCAACCGACTATGCTCTTCGGATCACTAAGTCCGCTGTGTGTCAGTGGGGAGGACGATGTCCACATTAGTGGTCTAGGAGTGCTACCTCTGGCTAAACCTGGCTGATATGCACAAAGTCGACAAAGTCTGCTTTCTTGACTCCCCCATATCCCAGGCTGGCTTGTTCGGCAACACTGGTGGTAAATTCACCCAGGAATTTAAGGCGGTGAGAGAGCAGTCTGAATCGATGGGTAATGTCATCTATCGGCAGAACTGTAAGCCCGCTTCACACGCAGAGCCATCCACATCTGCTGCTCCTCGCCGAGGGCGCCCACCTATGAGAGCTGCGTCGAGCACCTTTGAAGCAGGCAGCCCCCTCTGCCCAGGGTGCCTTTAAGTCCGGTAAATGGACCGCGAAGAGTCCCTGAGACACTTCATCTGGAGAAGAGGGAATTTGCTCTTTATCACACTGGAGGGCCGGGCCCCATTTCCAACGGCACTTTTCAGTGCCACGCAAACATCAATAAAAGAGCACTTTTCCACTTCCCCGGATGTGACAGCCTGAACTCTGTGTCTCCTCTGCCAGTCTGGGAAGCTATGCCTTCCAGCTCACAGGTACTGTGCATTTCGCCAGTGGCTCACAGGCGCTGGGAGGACGGTCTCCTTTCTCCCCTCTTTCTTCCCCTCGAGCCCCCCCTCCGGAGCTTGGGTGAGAGGTGAAAGAGAATCTCTCGCCTTCAGCTCTTCCAGGGGACCCTCGCGCTTCCAGGATCAGCACACCCACTTCGCACTGCCCCACTGCTGGTATGTCAGCGATTGTAGCAATGAGTCCATTAGCAAGTGCTCTGCCTGCCTGTTTAGCGCGGGCCAGCCCTTCGCGGTGGTTCATACGCTCAATTAGACTCGGCTACGCGATTCAATTCGCAAAATGGCCCCCCAAGTTCATGGGTGTGTATTTCACCAGGGTCAGCCCCCCTGTCCGCCCCTGCCTTGCGAGAGGAGATTGCTGTCCTCCTTGCGAAGGATGCAATTGAGCCGGTTTTACAGCCCGTACTTCATCATGCCCAAAAGGAGCAGTGGGTCACAGCCAATTCTAGATCTGCCCTTTTTGAACCGCTGTCTGCACAAGCTGCCGTTCCGAATGCTCATGCAGAAGTGCATCCTACGGTGCGTCCTCACGATTAGTTTGCAGCGATAGACCTGAAGGACTTCCATGTCTCCATTCCTCCATGCCACCGTCAGTTTCTGTGGTTTGCATTCAAAGGCCAAGCTTGGCAATACAAAGTCCTCCCCTTCGGGCTGTCTTTGTCTCTACGGGTCTTCACCAAGCTCGCAGAGGGTGCCTTAGCGCCCCTTCAACTTGCGGGCATTCGCATACTCAATTATCTCTACGACTGGCTGATTTTAGCCCACTCTCGGGAGCAATGGATTATGCACAGAGACAAGGTGCTCCGGCACCTCCACCTGTTGGGTCTTCAGGTCAACCGAGAAAAGAGCAAACTCGCGCCCGTGCAGAGGATCTCATTTCTCAAGCTGGATCTGGACTCGGTCACCATGACAGTGCGCCTCTCCAGAGAGCGTGCTCAGCTATTGCTGAACTGTCTGAGAGAGTTCGACAGCAAAATAGTGGTCCCACTGAAATTATTTCAGAGGCTCCTGGGGCATATGGCATCCGCAGCCGCTGTCACACCGCTTGGATTACTCCATATGAGAACACTTCAGCACTGGCTACATATTCGAGTCCCCAGACGCGCATGGCACATGGGCACACACTGAGTCACTGTTACTGCGCTGTGTTGCAGCACCCTCATCCCTTAGAACGACCCCTTGTTCCTACAGGCCAGAGTGCCTCTAAGACAGGCGTCCAATCATGTTGTTGTTTCAACAGATGCTTCCAGCATGGGCTGGGGGGCTGTGTGTTGCCGGCATGCAGTGCGGGCCTGTGGGAAGGAACCCAGTTGCATTGGCTTATCAATCACCTAGAGCTGTTGGCAGTGTTCCTCGCTCTCCACCGTTTTTTTCCGGTGTTGGATCAGCAGCTCGTGCTGGTCGGACATCACTGCGGCGGTGGCGTATATCAACCGCATGGTGGGGTAATCGCTTTCAATGCATGTCTTGGCTCGCCCACCGTCTGCTCCATACGTGGCTGAAATTGCTGCGCGCCATTCACATTCCAGGCGATCCCAATAGTGCTGCCGACGTGCTCTCACGGCACCCTTTATGTCCCGGAGAATGGAGACTCCACCCTGAGTCTGTTCAGCTGATATGAGCGTGATTTGGGGAAGCCCAGATCTATCTGTTTGCTTCCCCCAAGAATGCTCATTGCCAGTTGTTTTTTTCCCTGACCGAGGGTTCTCTCGGCACGGATGCACTGGCCCACAGCTGGCCTCGGAGCATGCGCAAATATGCAGGTAATGTGCAAGGTCAGGGAGTTCAGAGAGCAGGTCTTGCCAGTTGCGCCCCTCTGTCCCCACCAGACCTGGATGTCAGAGCTCTCCCTCCTTGCAACGGCCCTCCCCTGGCAGATCCCTTTGAGAGAGGACCCACTCTCTCAGGGACGGGGCACCATCTGGCACCCTCGCCCTGATTTTTGGAACCTCCACGTGTGGTCCTTAGACACAAGTAAGACTTAGGTAACCTACCAACTGCAGTGGTTAATACACTGTGGGAAGGCATAACCTCATCATCCGGTTTTATGGCGGGCGAATTAATCCACCACGCCTCCCTCTCATGCCCTTATGGGATCTCGTTCTCACGAGCCTGCATACAGATCCCTTCGAACCACTCGACTCAGTATCTTTAAGATTTTTGTCCCTGTAGACAGCTCTGCTGGTTGCGTTGGCATTGATTAAGAGGGTCGGGGACCTGGAGGCATTTTCGGTTATTACTCGTGCCTGGAATTTGGGCCAGCTTACTCTCACGTTGTCCTGAGACCCCGCCTGGGATATGTGCCCAAGGTTCCTACTGTGGCAGGAGGCAATATGGGGGGGGGGGGGGGGGGAAGAGTAGGGATTGACAATTTATCCACAAAGCAAATCCGACTACGCCACCTGAGAGGTTTTCTCCCAGAAAATAGAAATTGGCTTAAACCTTACTCTTAGGCCACACAGGTTCAGTTCTCATATGGATAGGCAAGAGACGTGGGTATAGTATAAAAGTACAAAATTTATTTTCAGAATTTGTGGCAGATTAAAATGGTCACATTACATTCTCTGAACATTTTGCCAGCACCTCCCTCCAACACAACTGCAGTAAAATAAAATAAAAAAAAGAAAACAAATTTATAGAAGACAACAACAACAACGTTATTACAAAGTAAATATGAAAATGAAATTAACCGGGGAAATAAATTGAATAAACTAACTTACAGGGCTGAGGTCACCCATGGGGGGGGGGGAGAATCACCAGTGCTCCGTTGTGTTCAAAAAGCACACTTCCACACACACACACCACACTAGATCCACACACTCCACACTTCCCAAACCGTCCACAGCAAAAATGTCAAGTGCAGTGACACCACCACCACCTCAAGATCCTGCACCCATGGGACCTCAGTTCCTGCAAGGAAAATCAAAATCAATATACGGGATAAATTATACAAAAGTAAAACCAACAACAAACCAAACACAAGAAAAGAAAAACCAAATACAGCTTCTGTAGTTTCGCTATAGAAAAGCAAGATTCACACAGAACACAAAACTCACTCTTTTGCACACCGAATCACACAACCAAACAGAACAAAAATCACAAATTATATAACAGTAGCAATAGGAGATAGTAGTAGCAGGTCGTAGTAACAACAGCAATAAATAGAGCAGGTAACAGTTAGTTGTAGCAGTTAGCAGTAACTGCAACAGTAGAGTAGCAGCAAGCAGATAGTTAGCGGATAGCAGTAGCAGCTAGTAGTAACTGCAGCAGTAAATGTAGCAGCAGCAGATAGTAGTAGCGGGTAGCAGTAGCAGCTAGTAGTAACTGCAGCAGTAAATGTAGCAGCAGCAGATAGTAGAAGCAGGCAGCAGTAGTAAACAACAGGAGTAGTTCTTTCCCCTAGAGATCTCAGGATAGCAGAATCTTTCAAACACAACCGGAGTAATGTTACAGATGTTAGATCTTTATTTATAAATCGCCCAGGACAGAGAGGGAGAATCCTACAAGAGATATGCACATGCAAAAACGGTTACTGTTTGCAAAATCACACGCTAGCATTCCCCTTTAATCTCTACATAAGAAACTTACCAAGCCGGGAGTAGTACACTCATGTATTACGAATTAGTCATCTCCATTTATGCTACAAGCGAGCTGAATGGGTGGCAGTCATTAACTCCATGGCAACCAACAGGAAAACCAACGAAAAACCAGGCTAAAAATGAAACCACGATGATTAATCCAAACGTTAATCGAAAGAGAGAGAGAGAGAGAGAGAGACACACACAACCGCTAACATACCTGAAACAGATGTCAACAAACGCGGAACAAGAAAGGCGGGGCTGGAGGTGACACATCACCTAACACAGCCAACCGGCTCTAAAATAGGCAGCACTGGCCCCTGATTGGTTGTTATCAACATCAATCACTACCACTTATCCTATACACGGTCACACTACCACACTGTTTAAAGACCAGGTAGTGAGCCGGCAAGCTCTGTCGCCAGAGGATGCAGACCCAGCCTTTTCATTGATTTGTTCAGTTTGCGCTTTGTGATTTTATCTGGACCCTACTCAGAGCTTTAGATCATCTGAGCAGCTCTTTATCTGTTATGGTAGTCGGCAGCAAGGAAGTGCCGTATTGAAACAAAGGTTGGCCCACTGGATGGTGGATGCCATCTCCCTCGCTTACCAGAGCCAGGGCGAGCCGTGTCCCATATGAGTGCGTGGGCACTCCACTCGGAGCATTGCATCCTCTTGGGCACGTGCACACGGCGCCTCTCTAGCAGACATTGGTAGAGCTGCAGGCTGGGCGACATCTAATACATTTGCAAGGTTTTACAATCTGCGAGTGGAGCCAGTTTCCTCAAGGGTATTAGGAAACACTTGTTGATTGAGGAAACAACTCGGTTAAGGTGTTGAAAAACGTTTGCTGTGCCATTCTCCCTAAAAGGGAGATACGTACGCTTATTCACTCTGTCAGTAAAGTTCCCCACTTAGGTGAGCCCTGCAGATTCCTCCGTGCAGTCCACTCTTCACAGGCGGACCCGTGTCTTCCCTCTCCGCTAACCATCTTATTAAATGCGTATCAGGTGCGCAAGCTGATGCTGCCAATTCATTTGGGATTTTATTGGCTCGTTTACATACTCTTTCAGACGATTGGCTTTCTGAACAAAAAGGTAGAGTATTGAGAGGGGGGCATGTTTAGACAGACCTGCCCATCGTGACCATAGCCTTGAGAGACCGCCAGCGTTTCCGTGGGAGGCCCCGGCTCGATGTTGGACGTCAAAGTTGAAATCCTGGAGCCACAGGAACCACCTGGTGACGCGAGCGTTGCTGTTTTTCACCTTTGCCATTCATTGTAGTGGGGGGTGGTCGGTCACCAGGGTGAACTTCCTGCCTAGAAGGTAGTATCTGAGCTCCAGGATTGCCCACTTGATTGCCAGGGCTTCCTTCTCCACAGTTGCGTACCGGGGTCTCTGCTGGGGTAAGCTTCTGACTCACGTACATGATGGTGTGTTCTTCATCGCCGTGGACCTGGGAGAGGACGCGCCCAGGCCCGAGTCTGAAGCATCCGTTTGGAGGAAGAAGGGGCAGCCAAAGTCAGGTGCGTCCAGTATCGGTGAGGATGTGTGAGCCGTCTTCAGGGCTCGGAACGCGTCTTCTGCTGCCTTGTCCCATTTTATCCTCTCTGCCTGCCCCTTTCTGGTCAGGTCTGTCAGTGGGCTGGCTATGGATGAGAAGTTAGGTATAAAACATCTATAGTAGCTAACCCCAGAAATGCACATACCTGGCTCTTGGTAGTGGGTTGTGGAGTTTCTTGTTGTGCTCTGACCTTGTTCTGTTGTGGCTGTATAAGACCTCTTCCGATGTGGAACCCGAGGTATTTGGCTTCGGCTAGTCCCTGGTGGCATTTCTTGGGGTTAGCTGTGAGCCCAGCCCATCGAAGATCTAAGAGCACCCTCCGTAACCGGGATAGGTGTTCCTCCCATGACTCGGAATGGACGATGAGGTTGTTCAAATACGCTGCTGCATATGGATAGTGGGGCTTCAGCAAAATGTCCATCATTCGCTGAAATGTGGCTGGGGCCCCGTGGAGCCCGAAGGGAAGAACCCGGTATTGCCAGTGCCCACCGGGTGTGGCCGTCTTTTCCTTAGCCTGTTCGCTGAGCGGTAACTGCCAGTAGTCTTTGGTGAGGTCGATGGTGGAGATGAATCGGGCTCCACCCAGCCTATCCAGCAGCTCGTCCACCCGAGGCATGGGGTATCTGTCAAACTCTCAGATCTCGTTGAGTTTCCTGAAGTCGTTGCAGAAACAGAGGGGGCCATCAGGTTTGGGGATCATCACTACTGGGCTGGACCACGGGCTACGGGATGGCTCGATGATTCCTAACTGTCTCATCTTTTGGATCTCCTCGTTGATAGCCAGCCGGCGAGACTCTGTTACTCAATAAGACCTCTGTCATGCTGGATGATGGTGGTTCGGCCCGGTTTCTCCGAGAATACATCCTTGAACTGACCAACCAAGGCTTGCAGCTCCGCCTTCTGGTTAGGTTAGAGTTGCTCACCTAGGTGGACGACGGGGGAACTCTCTTCGGTGAAGGCGACTAGGTGGCCTGGAGCTGCAACCCACTTCTTCATAAGATTGATGTAATATAGCTGTTCCTCCCGTCTTCGTCCCGGCTGACGGACTCGATAGTTTAGCGGCCCTACCCTTTCCACCACCGTATACGGTCCCTTCCAGGATGCAAGGAACTTTGAGGTTGTGGTATGTATTAAGATCATCACCTTGTCCCCTGGGTGGAACTCTCTGGGTTGGGCAGGCCGGTTATATAATCTCTGTTGGGTGCACTGGGCTTCGGTCAGGTGTTGCTTGAGGGGGGGCACATTTTTAATGTGTCCTCTCATGTCCCGTACGTGTTCGATCACTGACCGTTGAGGGGCTGGTTCCTGTTCCCCGGCTTGGCGAGGCACATCCAAGAGCCCGCGTGGTTGGCGGCCAAACAGAACTTCAAAGGGAGTGAAGCCTGTGGAGGCCTGGGGGACTTCTCTGATGCCAAATAACACGTACGGGATCATAAGGTCCTCTGCCACCACTCGGCGGAGCATCTGCTTCAGCGTCTTGTTAAACCTTTCTACGAGGCCGTCAGTCTGTGGATGGTACACCGATGTTTTTATCTGTTTAACCTTGAGGAGGTGGCAGAGGTCTGCCATCAACCGGGACATGAAGGGGGTGCCCTGGTCGGTCAGTATCTCCGCTGGTATTCCACTCCACTCGACTGCACCGCAGAAACAGCTCCTTCGTGATCACCGATGATGTGGCTTTCCTCAGGGGAATCGCTTCTGGATACAGGGTAGCATAATCGAGGATAACAAGGATGTGTTCATGTCCCCGGGCCGACTTCGGCAAAGGCCCTATCAAGTCCATACCGATGCAGGTGAAGGGCACATCAATGATGGGTAGGGGTATTAGAGGGCGGGGGGTGGTCATTAGGAAGACGTTCTTTGGCAGATGTCGCATGCCTGACAATACCTTTTCACCTCTACGTCCAGACCGGGCCAGTGGAATCGATCGCGGATTTTCTTCACTGTGTTGCCAGCTCCCAGATATCCAGCCATTGGGTGGGTATGTGCCAGTTTTAGAACCGTCTCCCTCTTGGTCCTTGGAACGACCAGTAATGTCTTCTTTTCCCCCCGCCTCTCTGCGACACAGTACAGCAGACCATTTTGAACTATAAAATGTGGGAGGGGGTGAGGGCTGGGAAACCGTTCGTTACCATCAATAATTCTCACTTGTGGCCAGCAGTGTTTGAGCGTTTCGTCTTCCCGTTGCGCTCTCCCAAAGTCACCTCCTGCGGTTATCTGTTGAAACAGATCAAAATATAAATTAGCAGATGTTGATGACTCACCCCCTCTGTCGCTCTCAGTGGCCATCAATGCTGGTTTGCGCCCCGATGAGCCCGTGTCTTGCTCTTCTTTTTAGGATGAGCCGATAGAGCATGATGGTGTGCAAGGAGTTTGTCGAACTCCGGCCAGTCTCTGCCTAGGAAGAGGGGCACAGGAAGATCTGGAACCACCCTGACTTCGATATGCCAGCTGCCCGGTTTAGCCGCGATGGTTACTCTCTGTGCAGGTACATAGCGGGTATCTCCTTGTACACACGTGATCAGGATTCGACCTTTACCTTCATGATGGTGTTTTAAGGTTTTGGGGTGAACCAGAGTAATGGCACTTCCTGTATCCAACATGGCTGTTTGTGTTTTCCCTTCTAGCTGGACTTTAAGGGTGAGAGCTTCGAGAGGTATGTTGTGGTGGACCAAGCAACCTGCTGTCCAGGCCTGGGTTAAGTGTGTCGTCGACTCTGTGGGCATCGGCTCGTCCATTGGGCTGGGGACCGCTGGTCTGCCACCTGGGCGCGCTGTGCCCTCCACCGGTCGCCACGGTGCGTTCTCAGCGATCTGGACTGCCAAGGGATCTCCTCCCAATAGCCATAGTCATCCCAGACGAGACAGTTGAGCTGCTTGAATACGTACCGGCTGCTTCTCATCATACGTCCACTGGGAGAACTGCTGCTCTGCGCTGATTGCGGAGAGCCCCATCCTGGCTAATATCTCCTTCTTCAATGCTTTATAATCTTAATTTGTGGGTGTCTCAAGTGCGAAATAAGCTCGTTGAGCTTCTCCAGTGAGGAATGGAGCTAACACCCTTGCCCAGCTTTCCTTCGGCCAGCATTCTCTCTCGGCAATCACTTCAAAGGTGTGTAAGTATGCGTCTTTATCATCCAGGTCGCTGAGTTTTGTTATGTGGCGATGCGCGCACACTGCAGGAATCGGGTGGTGTCTGGCCGCCTGGCGGAGCTGTTGTTTCAGCCTGTCCTGTCTGGCTGTGAGCTGCTCGGTGATGGTTTGTTGCTTGCTGGAGATCTCCGCTAGGTGGAGTACTACCTCTTCGAGAGACATGGCTTACTGGATGATGACAGCCGAGTAAGAGAGAGCGTGAGTGGGAGAGAGAGAGCGGATACCTGTCTGTAACACAAAGAAAAATACAGTGGTTATTTCTTCTTACTGGTAAGTGTTTCTTCTGAATTTTTCTCTGCAATGCCCGCATTCTCCACCAGTTGTAGCGAGGCAGAGGGAAAAACACATACATAGTAGCGTGGGTTACAAACAAGTCCCCGGAGGGTGCTTTATTTACAAAGTGAAATGGTGAAAATATGGTACTCTTCTTGGTAATGGTGCTCGAGTGCTCCGGGGAGAAGGTGAAGGATAGTGAGAGTTCGGGTGCTGGATCGTTCACAAGCTGGAGTACGCTGTGGGAGAGACAGAGAGACACAATCGTTAGCGCAGGGAGTCATGTGTGAATGAAGCTTGTCTTCCTTGTGTGTGGGGCTGGCTTTTATTTCTCTGGCTGATGAGTTCCAGCTGTGAGCTATCCGGTGCTGATGAGGTGTATATATATATATTAGGGGTGTAACGATTTATCGTTGTACGATTTATTGCGATGCAAAAATTTCACAATATGCATCGTGGCGTTATGACGATTTGATTACGATATGACGTCCGTTTTCTCTTATTAGTTGAGCTGTTTGCATGTGAGCTTCGTTCCACCTGCTGTCGCACGTAAGTTCAGATTGCAGCAGCAGTAATGTTAGCAGACCAAGATGAGTGGAGCTGAAATAGAGGATGGCCCATCCTCTCAAAATCAGACGTCTGGATAGATTTCGGTTGTACAGTCATTGCTTTAGACTCGTCCGCTTTTTGACACGCATACTGGGTCAAACATCCTAAGTTTTAAAGTCTTCACAGTGATTTACATACTTGGCACAGCGTACAATTCACCCTAAAATATCATTCTGTCTTCATATAACGTTCCCGCCGCAAAATCACACATGACGTGAGCTGACCGTGAGCTGTTACTACAGAGGGCGGACTGATAGATGCGCGCGTATGGCAAGCCGTTTTAGCATTTAAACCTTTGTTCTGACTATCCATTAGTATATTTAGAGATATCTCTAATTATATTTTGACTAGTCATAATTATAATTCGACTAGTCAGAATGACAATTAGAGATATCTGCAAATACAATTGTACTAGTACGAAATCAGATTGGAGATATCTGCAAATATATTATGACTAGTCATATTCCTCCATTGACTTCCATTGAAAAATATTTGCAGATATCTCTAAATGAGTTTTGACTAGTCACAATTGTAATTACAGATATCTCTAAATTAATTTAATTAAATATGAATTAAATACCTGGAAATGTGGATTTTTTTTTGCACACACAAAAAACGCAAGTGACCAAGCAAAGCCTTAGCTCTTACTGTTAAATTCAATTGAATAGAAAGCTTATTTTTTTGCACCTTTACTTAAATTGTTCCTTAATTTTGTCTCTGTCATTTCAATAATATTTTTAAGAAGTTTTTAAATTGTTTTATTTTCCAGAGACAGGCCTGTTTAATTTATTTTCTTAAAGAAGGTTCAGTTTAACAAGTTAAAACAAAAGAAATACATAAAAAATAGTTTACTTGGTAATATTTGCATTTCAGTTTAATTTTTAATTTTTATTCCAAATATCATTATACATATCGAATCATAAACATTATATCGTGATACACATCGTATCGTGAGCTGAGTGTATCGTTACACCCTTGATATACATATATATATATATATATATATATATATATATATATATATATATATATATGTATATATGTATATATGTATATATATAAACAAATAATACATTTTTAAAAACAGTTTAATATGTTTAATCATTTGGGATTATGGAGATAACTGGCAAAGTTTTAGTACCCAGCTACATGTGTATCATAAATATCTGCACACCGGTATAAGAATAACATTAAATCTGGCTGAAAATAAAGGATAGTTTAAGCTTATTAAAAAAAATATAGATTTGTTTATTTATTGAAAGCAACATGATTCTCCCCAGCTCATGGCTTTGTTAATACTGTATAGCTGTGATCAGCCGATTTAAAATCCTGGATTTCGAACATGTTTGCTATGACTGGTGAGGCTCCGATTTGTGTTCAAGATTGGCTCACATAACCAGATAATCTGCTCTAAGAATCAGAACTGACCGAAGTCCTCAACAAGATTTAATCTCCCATTCAAAAATTAATTGGGCTAAAACTTTGGTAGTCTGAGCCCGGCTTTAGATTAGACAGATGTCTTGCCTGCACCAGGTGTTTCTTTTTCAGGTAATGGACACACAACATGCAAAAAAGAAAACTCACAAGAGGATCAGTGGAGATTTATCTGAAGAAGACTGGATAACACTTTGTTTATTGCTGGAGATCAACCAGCAAGTCAAGCTTTGTTAGTCTTGTTTTTGTCTTTTGCAGATTAGACTAGGGCATGTGGAGGAATGGGAATCACACCTCAGCAATGACTGCAAACTGATGGTCTGCTTAGGTGTTTCCTGAATGGACGAATGAATTAATTAATTAATGCAAAATAGATGTCCTTCCAAGAGGAAGGGGGTGGAGGTGGGCTTAGATAGTTAGCTAGATGTCTTGTCTGTGGCTGGTGTTTTTTTTTTTTGTTTGTTTTTTTTTTTTTTACAAGTAATGGACACAACATGCAGAAGAAGGAAACTTACAGAAGTATCTCTTGAGATTTAACTGAAGGACACTAGAGAACATCTTGTGCATTGCTAGAATTCAGCAAGGATGTTAGTTCTGTCTTTGTCCTTTACAGACTAAAGTGCAGCATGTGAAGAAAAATAGAAATCACACATCTCAGCAATGACTGGAAACTCTTGGTCTAGTTAGGTGTTTCCTGAATGCATGGATGAATGAATGAATGATGGAAAAATAGATGTCCTTCCAAAAAGAAGGGGGTGGAGGTGGGCTTAGATTGTTAAATGTCTTCTCAATTGTAGTAATTTAGCTTGTACACTGTTAACCCTTGTTGTAGATTATGCGGTAAATAACTCTAAAATAGCCAGTGTTTTGCTGTACTAAATAGAAACAATATTTTACTGTAAAACAAGTAGGATTTGCGTGTATATATATATATATATATATATATATATATATATATATATATATATATATATATATATATTGGATATTGAGCTACTCACCAAAAAAGTAACTAGTTGCATTACATATTTACTTTTTATAGAATGTGATGTGTTGTGTTATTTTTGTGTTACTTTTATTGAGGCTTGATCTCTTTCAGAACTATTTTTTTTTTTTTGCAATTAACAACACTACATATAACCTTTATTTACCATAAAAAAATCACATTAAATAATATTGTAGGATAATGTTGTCTTCTGACAACTTCATGAGCCCAAAGCTCTATATGCTGTAAATACAGATTAATGACAGTTTAAAGCAATGTGTTTGATGCTTTTGTATTTTTTTGTCTAAAATGAGCATTTCACTTGTCTTCCATGTGTTCAGAAAAATTAGGTAACTTCCAGCACAGAAATGTGAGACTCTGCCATCTTGGTCTCTATTTGTTTCTGCTGGGAGAAAATTCTTTCTTTGAGTGTGGGATTCAACGTTAATTTAAATTCAGTAATTTATTTTTTAAAAGTGAATGTAACTTGCAATACATGTTTAAAAAGTAACTCAAATATTATTAATATTTTTTTAAATAATGCATTACTTGTTACTTAGAAAAGTAATTTTATTACGTAACTCGCATTACTTGTAATGCGTTATCCCCAACACTGTATACACTCAGTGTCAAACTCCAGTTGAGTTCCCACCCTACTTCAGCACATGAGTCCTATATACACTGCATGTGTTGTTCATTAATTTAACCTCTTTGTTTTATTGTAATCAGAACATTTATTCATATCTGCTGATTTGATTAATTTGTTTGACATTTTCTGTTGTTTTGTTTGCTGCCAAACAATAAACACATTTGTCTGAAGAATTGATTTGCTTTCTGTTTTTAACAACAGTTACGAATACTGATTCATTTCAGTAAAACTATAAATTACCATATATGATTTACCAATAATGTGTATACAGTATCTATTATGCTGTGTGTGAGTATAGAACTACAGTACAGCAATTAACTGTACACAGTTTCCAGTTAGTTGCTGTTACTGCTCTGTTATAGTGACTGTTGCCAGTAATCCACTGTAGAAAACAAAACAAAAAAAAACTGGTAAGATCTAATTCATTTATTACAGTATTTATTAGTAAATCATGTGAACTCACACAGGGCACTAACTAATATTAACAATTTAATTTTAATAATGCATTTATATCAAAACCACCCAGATATCTCTCTCTCTCTCTCTCTCTCTCTCTCTCTCTCTCTCTCTCTCTATATATATATATATATATGTGTGTATATATATATATATATATATATATATATATATATATATATATATATATATATATATATATATATACAAACCTACAATGCAAGCTACTTTTTAGCTCTTTGGAATATTTATATAACACGCACTAAATCTTGCAGACATTAAGAATTAAATATTTATAGGTCAAATGTTTATTAATTACCTTAATCAAAAATAGATATTTGTAGTAAAAATTAAGCACATGGTGGAAATTCATGGATTATTTCATCCAACATGTAATACCTACAGCCCTGGGGAAATAAGTGACCACTTAAATGTTAATATTGGTTATTCTGAATTTAATTAATACAAACGATTGAGAAAAGTCCATGTTTAATGACTATAAAATTGACCACGAAAGAAGATTTCAATTCATCATTGTGTTAAATGTGAAAAAAAAACATTTAGAAAAAATAATTAATACAAAGCAATTCATATAGATTTAACTGCACAGAAGTGTGTTAATTATGACAGAATTAGTTTGTGTGTGTAAAGTATCTGTTTATTTTAAAGATTAGAGTTTTTTAGACTTTTAAAATGAAAATAATCCTCAAAATAAGAATCTAAAACTTCCAGTAGGTGGTAGTAAAGTGTAAAGAGTGCGACGATTTACATTACGAATGCAACTATAGTTCAACCCTATGTAGTTCAACAAACAAGTAAACCTCTGTCTGGATGGTCTGGACTCTGGACTGTTAAAAACATAAATTAATTCAGAAAGTAAACAAAATATCTTTTGTGGCTTTAAAGGTAATTTTTAATATGATTCCCATTATATATATATATATATATATATATATATATATATATATATATATATATATATATATATATATATATATTTACATTTTTTAAATAAAACAGTAAATTTGACCTGATTTGCAACATGCATTCTCGTGACCTAGATATTACTATTATTATACTACAACTACTATTGATTATTACTATATAGTCCTACTGACTTAGTTTTTTTTAGTGAATAACACCCAGTGTTTTATAAAATGGATTGGAGATGGTTTAAACTGGTGGTCTCTAATGTGGTTGCGCTATTTATGCCAGACCACCAGGTGACGACAAAGAAGTAACGTTAAGCGGAAGATTTTTTCCCATTAAAACACCCGACGAAGAGACCACAGGCGAGATGTCAACAAAAAAACTCTCCCGAAAATGCCTCTGTCAACCTGAATAAGAACCAGCCTAATTTTACAATTCATCAACAGTAACGAGCAGTAACGTTAGCTTCTTTTTATTACATTTAAAAAAAAGCCACACAATGGGAACGCATCTTTCGGGAGTAAATGTTGTTCTTGTTATGACCTACGGCTGCCTGGTGAGTACCAAACTGAATAACGTGTAATAATTGTTCAATTATTGCTATTAAACATTTGACTTTAAAAATAATAGCACAACTAGTGCAGCCAAAGGAATATGTATCAGTTCTTAGTGTAATTTCTTCTTCCACAAGTGAGTGCGGATAAAGGACATTTCCGCTTTAAAGTTGTAGTTTCAAAATCAAATGTATTTTTTGGGGACATTTTAAAATGCTCAACCTGAATCATCTTCTATGTGAAGCTGCTTTGTCACAATCTACTTTGTAAAAGCGCTATGGAAGTGAAGATGAAATGAATTGAAATTGAATAAAAAAACTTAACGTGGCGTAATGTACCTAGACCAGAGGTAAATTGAGGTAAAGTTGGTTTTATATTCGCATATTCGTTCATTTTAACGCCCCCTATATTGTTTGACTTTGAATATTCGATATGAAATCGCATCAAAGTATGACTTTAAAACAACATTAGCACTATTTAATAGACTGAGAGTGTGAACAATGTATAGTCATTGACTGTTAATATGATTTCCTTATTTAGAATTAGCAAAGAATACATTTCTGATATTATATTATTAAGGAGAAACTCTGAATGTGCGAATATAAAACCAACTTTACTCCAGTACCAGAGAAACCCAAATTTCTGTCAAACTGTGCTTGTAATTAACCCTAACTACTGTAAAAAGAACCAGTCCCAATTCCATAGATAAAGTGAGGAACATCATGTTAAACGTTTTCTCCTCATTGAAGTCTATTATAAGGAAAAAGCTTAACGTGGCTTAATGTACCTAAACAAGTAAAGAAAATACAATTTCTATAAAATTTTACTCTAGACAAAGCCTTTCTCTTATTTTTGTCAAAAGAATGTCCTCTAATTTTCGTAAGTGAAAAATTATGATATGCTCTTCAAGTCCATTCTTCTTCTTCTTCTTCTTCTTCTTCTTTGGCCTTAGTCCCATATGGTTGCGGGGTCGGCTCTTTGGAACAAGCTATTTTAGACTTGTCCATATGATAACGACTTTTTTACACATTCCGGCCGGCCTGTCGCCTGGGCCTGTCACCCTCATACGCTCATAACACTATGGACAATTTAGCCCACCCAATTCACCTGCAGCATGTCTGTGGACTGTGGGGTAAACCGGAGCACCCGGAGGAAACCCACGCGAATGCAGGGAGAACATGCAAACTCCTCAGAGAAATGCATTCTTGCTGTGAGGCAACAGCACTACCTACTGCGCCACTGCTTCGCCATGCTCTTCAAGTCAATTATAAAAGGAAAAAGCTTAACATGGTTTGATGTACCTCAACAAGTGGGGCAAACCAAAAATCTTTGACATTTTACTTGTACCACTAACTACTAGCACTAACTACTAGCAAAAGCCCTAATTTTTTTGGATGAAGTTAACAATGTGACGTTAAGTATTTTAACCCCATTGAAGTCCATTATAAGAGCTTAATGTGGTTTAGCTTGACAACATTCTGAGACAATCAAATGTTTATAATAATATATGCATAAACACTTTCTGCTGTAATAAAAAAAACAAGCTTCTGGTTTATATAGTGAACAACAATACTTTAAGTAGACATGTAACCGTGATCCATACGGATCACAATTCACGGTTCGGAACTTATGTGACATGTGGGTTAATTACTTTTTTGGACTTGTAGGTTAATCCAACATTTATAAGCAGAGAGATCGCATCATGCGTTTATTAATCTTTCTAAGCACTGCGTTCCAATCTGCGTTTGATCGAGAGAGATTCAGTTCTTACACTTTTTCAGTTACAAACAATTAAATAACACAGAAGTACTGGGAGAACAGTTTATAGATTATCAGATATAAACACAAAAAAAAAAATCGCTAAAATAAAAACCACTAAACTTCGCCATCTATAATTCCTAATAATAACTTCTGTACAGCAGTCCCACAACATTCTGACACTCAATGACACTGAAATACCCTGTCAGAAAAGTCTAGTGACTGGGAATGGGCTTTTTACAGTGTCTGCTATAATTTTAATGCTGTTTTTGGTGTGTTTAAATTAATGAATATGGCCACTGTGCTTAATGCATGGCTTCAGTGATTTCCTAAAGATAAATACAAAAAATTAACTCAACTGGAATCACTACAGTAGTCGCCATCATCTGAACTCGCATGAAGCAAGAGATTGCAAGGACATATGATGACGTGTGCAGGTGATTTAGTGCTGTCCAAATTCTTAGGGGTAAATTTTGAAGCCCTTCCCCTTAACCCTCGGTTGGAAGGGCTAAGGGGAAGGGGTAGGGGTACAAAAATAGGATCGGGATTGGGCCTAAGGCTGTTTGTTTGCAGAAATTCTGATAAAAATCTGTTTTATTTATATTGTAAAAATGCATATTTATAATGTTTTTAAGCATAGTATATGTTTTGAAAAGAGAAAATGCAATAAATAGTTATATGAATGCTGTAATGTTTAAATAATTTTCCATTAAAAACCCGTGAGGGTCACGTGACCATCAGGAAGAACGTAGCATCTCATTTCACAGAGGACGCGTTCTCTGTTCTTGCGGCCTTCCGAGTTCGTTCTTCCGAGGACACCTGGCAAGACCGGTCTCCACAAGAACGCAAGTCCATTCACTGCGTTCTTGGAATTGAGAAACAGCCTATGTCTCTGAATAGGTTTTCAGAAATGATACACCTATAATGAAACATCAAGTTTTATGTGCGAATTGTTGAATTATTAATTTAAAATAAATATTATATGTTGTACAAGATGTTAGATTCTTATATTTAACACTATCAGCAAAGATAATTTTCTGTATTAAATACTTTCCTTTTTAATTTTTATTAAAACTACAGGTTCTAAGTTCTGTTTGTTAAAACTAATAGTTTTTGCTGTAATATTTTTGTATAACTGGAAAGCAAATGAAATTTGTCTCCTCCCTTTTTTTGCTATTCTGTAAAATGGTCCAATCCATGACTCAAAAACCGTAGTGGGATCCGAACCATGACATTTGTTATCCGTTACAGCATTCTCACCATGGAATTCCATTATAAGGAAACAGCTTAACGTACCCTAACACTGACCAGGAAAGCCCAAATTTCTGACAAAATTTACTTGTGATTAACACTAACTATTATCAAAAGAACGGGCCCTAACTAAATTTTAGTTACTAAAGATAAAGATTTACTAAAGATAAAGTGAACAATATCTCATTAGGTGTTTTCTCTCCTATGGAAGTCTATAATAAGGAAAGGCTTAACGTAACTTCACAACAACGGAGGGAAACCAAATGTTAAAAAGGCTGTTTATAAAATCAAAGTTAGGGTTAATCACAAGTGAAATTTGATAGAAATTGTTTTTTTTTTTGTTGCTTTTTGTTAAGCCACGTTAGTCTTTTTCCTCTTTTTCCTAGACTTCAATGGGGAGAAAATGCTTAACGTGATGTTTTTCACTTCATCTTTGGAATTGGGACTGGTTCTTTTTACAGTAGTTAGGGTTAATTACAAGCACAGATTGACAAAAAATGAGGGTTTCTCTGGATGATGTTAGGTACATCAAACCACGTTAAGCTTTTTTCACGTTAAACATTTTAGCGTCTCCTTTTCATAACGATTTTACTGTAGTATAGATTGCAGTAAAGTTGGTTTTATATTTGCACATTTGTTCAGTGACAACTTGTAGCTTGTTCCCTATATTGTTGACCAAGGTAACTTACTTTGAATATTCTTTCGCTCTGAAATCTTGAAAAATCTACAAATATGTATGTGACTGAAAAATGTTGTGCTTTATAGACATTGGCTGCTAAGATGAGTTCACTGTTTACCATTAGCAAAGAATACTTTTCTGAAATAATATTATTAAAGACAAATTCTGAAAGTGTGAATATAAAACCAACCTTATCTCTATTAGTGAAAGTATAGTGAACGTTGCATTGATTAACATTTATATAACTCAGTTTTACTAAAAATACTATGGTAAATTATGACCAGTATAGCCAAGCATGGCTGATTTGTGGTGGTTACCGTGGTTTAACTTCAATAACCGTGCTTTACCTACAATAATAATAATATTTTTCTTTGTGAAATCAAGTTTAAATTTTGTAAGTATTTTGAGTTTCCCATTTAAAAACTGACATCAGCTATGAAAAAAATCAAGAGGCAGCTTGAAGATTCTCAGTTTCTTTAAATTCTAAGTGGTTATTTATTTGAGTAACTTTTGTTTTGTTTTATTCTGTAAATGTTTTTTTTTTCAATTATTTCTTTTTTTTTCATTATTTAAAACGTTTCTTACCTATAATTGGCAATTATCAAACTAATAAAACTAGTGCTATGTTTTCAAATATGTTTGCTTGTTTTTAGAAATCAATATCCCAATATTTTGCTGTTTAAATCAATATTTGGTGGAATAACCCATATTTTTGTAATTTCAAGTGAAAACAATAGTTGTAGTTTTTTAACATTTTAATCAGTTTCATTTTTCATGAAACAGGAACGAATTATCATGAAATATTATTTTTTGTTAATTTAGATTTTTTAGAAAGAAAAAAAAAAACAGTAATGGCATTTTAATCAAACCCATATTTAACAAATCCATTAAATACAGAGAACAGAACATTTTTCAAGTGGTTTCCTCTAGGGCTGTGCGATTAATCGAATTGCAATCGAGATTTAAAAAGTTGCGATTAGATGATCACAAGCGGCTGTGATATGAAATATATTTGTATTATTAAATTTCCCCTGCCCAGAGCAAATGCATGACTGCCATCTGTGTAATAGTCTTACTAGCCAATTGAGTGAGCGTCTTGCTAAAAAGTCAACTGAAAGTAATGCCAGTGACACTCAATCTAGTAGCTAGCAACAGCAAAGTACAATTTTAGAGTTCTTTCAGCCATGGTAGTTTGCGGAGTGTTCTGTGTTTTTATAATTATTATTATTTTGTTTTTATAATAAGCTACACTGTCTCCCTAATTTGAGTTGAACTTGTTTACAGAAAGGTAAGGTCATTGTAGTATTTTCTCTAAGGAGGCTCTCTCAGTGGTCAAGAAACAAAGTCTTACCCGGGATGTCTTTTACAAGTTTTATTCTTTATAAAGAAGATCACCGTCATACAGCAACAACAGTTTCTGCAGAGTGAGATACTAAAGCAAAGTGTGTTCCCCTTTTTATCTAGTTTGTACTGCTTACGAGGTCAACTCCCAATAAGGCCTCATCTACAATTACGTCAGGCGTCTTCTGCTGTTCGTGCGATTTGCTCATAACAACCACACATCCTTCTTAGGATAATGAAAAAGCTTTCACCTAAAGAAATATAGTTATCTATAAAAATGTACACATAGGTTTTATGATGAACATATGGAGAACACAGATACACACACATGTAAAAATGAGTCTTAGACAAGTTTCTAACATATAAAGCTCATCTAAAAAGGAATTTCCATTACAGTCATTTTATTTGTGTTTACTGTTTCCTGTAGAGAAAAATGAGTGTTTCATTTCTGAATATTTAAAAACAAATTTGAATAAATGTTTACGTTAATATTTTTTCGATTCCTTGTTTAACTTACACTCACTGCATTTTAGCAGTAAGAAGCTATGATACAGATTATTGAGCTGAAGCTTGACTACAAAATTAAATCGCAAATCAAATGGAAATCGCAATATCTGTCAAAAAAATCGCAATTCGATTTTTTTTTTCTTTAAATCGCACAGCCCTAGTTTCCCCATTTTTTTCATATAGCTGTAAATGGGAACTACTGTCATGCTTACAAATACTGTCTCTCTATCTGCTTAAAATACCAGCTCAGATAAAGCAGAGCTTATGATGTCTGTGTCTGGCATTTCAAATGTGTTGATTAAAGCCTTCTGTCAATATGCAGGTGTTTGTGCTGCTGTTCATTTTTATGAAAAGGCAGATTATGCGCTTCGCTATGAAGTCTCGCAGAGGACCACATGTCCCGCTGGGTCACAATGCACCAAAGGTATGAACAGCTCCTCCTGACATCAAAAGCAGTTTATTTTTATATGCATGCACTACGACTGCACAACGTATCATTTCAGCATCAATATCGCAATGTGCGCACCCGCAGTAGTCTCATCACAAGACGTGCAATGTTGAGTCTGAATAATAGTTATGCTATAAATTATGATTTAATGATTTATGCAAAATAAAGTGAAAACAACATTATTTTACTTACCCCACTGGCGCTTGTTTTAATTAAAACTTTTACTTTTGACTTATTTTTTCTTAAGTTATGTAGGTATTATTTACAGTTTTAACCCAAAGCATGTGCAGTCTGTCAGATGAAGGAGAGCCGGAGTCAGAGATTTAAATAAATAAATCAAGTTTACTGAAGATAATTTGCAGTTTCATCAGCAGAAGCCAGCTTCAACACTCGCTATGAGTTTCTAGGCCATTCTGCTTACAATCACCAATCAATAACAGTTTTATTCTCACATAACATCATTAACTGCGTCTTACATAAAGGTGTTCTAACCTGATTGGGTAAAACTTCGATAGACTAGGAAATTTCCTTGTAAATATCTCAAGCATGTAAATGTCAGACATCCACTAGACCAGGGATGTCAAACTCAATTCCTGGATGGAAGTCTATTTTGAATAAAAAGTAGAATCACTTTAAAAGAATAAACTGTTAAAATAGCAAAATCACTAGCCATTTTAGATTGTATTAACTCATAGAAATAACAATAGAAACAGTTGTTTCCAGTCCTCAGCCCTTCAGTTCTACTCAAGGTCTCTGTGACCTTTGACCTAGTTTGGTGGCTCCTGAAAATAGTTACAAAGAGACAGGCAAATGCACTGAACATTCTTATATTATGCAATGTGTTAACTTTATTCAATATTTAATAATCATCTTTAATAAAAAATTATGGGAAACTGGTTGATGAGAAAAGGATAAACGATGATCCATCCTTGGATGGATTGGAAGGTAGAAATCTGAATCCTTCAGTTAAAAAAACAAAACAATATTTTTACTTGATCTAAGCATTTTTAGATATTTGGACTAGAAATGAGACGGAGCCAAGTAAGAAAAGCATTTATTGCATTGAGATTATTCAATTTCTGTACCTGAATACTGTACTGTCACTGTGAAAATGTATTCATATCGCTATATTTATTGCAGAAACCTATAATATCACAATATCAGATATTTCAATATTGTGCAACCTTAATATGCACTCCAGCAGGCACATTATTATATACAGCTATTAGTAGTGTAATGGATCATGGTAGATTCATGATTCGTACGGATCACAACCCACGGTTCGGAACACACGTGACCAGTGCATGAATAAATTTTTTTACTTGCAGATTAATCTTAAATTTGTAACGATAGCCTCTTGCGTCATTCAAATCCAATGTATGAAAGCATTTAAGCCTTGTTAAAATGTAATGATGACGGGAAGATGTTGTGGAAGGTTATTAGGATGTGGTGGCTTTTTTAGGTTACAGGTGTTTTCTCTGTCACTACTTGTTTAGCCTGCATTAATGCATTCAGTGTAAGCTGCACGTTGATTCATTAAAAGATTGGAATCTCAACACGCACGCAACATAAATGATAAATGATGGTGCTTTGCATATGTTTATTAATTATTTTATTATTTATTAGTAACAAACAGTCAAATAACACAGAAGTACTGGGATAAAAGGTTATAGTTTAGATAAAACCACTGATGTTTATGGTAAAGATAAAAATCACCGTCATATGCTCAAAAATGTAAGTGGTAAGCAGAAATGACATAATTTAACCAATAGGTGGCGAGAACCAGCCATCAAAAATATGCCACTGAATAATTTTTCAAAAATGATCTATCGTAGCAATGAAACATTGATTTATGATGAAATAACTGAATCATTTATTTAAAATGAGACTAAAAATAAATATGGGTTTTAAATATTTATTATTATTCAGCTGATTGTTTCTTCATTTTTTTATATAAAGCCAAAAATTTCTTGCAGTGCTGTTTTTATAAAAAATTGAAAGCAAATTGCATTTGTCTCCTCTTCTTTTAGGCTGATCCGAAAAACGATCAAATCTGCAACTAAAAAACATAATGTGATCCGAACCATGAGATTTTTGATCTATTACACCACTAACAGGTATACTGTGCTATGACCAGGTTGGAGCCTCTTTTGCCTGCTTACATTTTTTGAGGTACATGTTCAGCAAAGTGCTCAACCAACAAGAGTTTACTTTGCATCCATGAATTCTGCCTACTAAACTATATATAATAAGATATATAATTCTCTATTATAGATCAGTGAGTTTCATTAAGACTGATCTAACTCTTGAACTCTGAGGTTAAAGAAAATGTCAAGTTTCCCACTCCTAATAGCAACTTTTCAACTCGTAAATATGAATTATCAGTCATGACTTGAACGCATGAAAAGTTTGAATTCAGCAGATCATGTTAACCACATCTTTGCAAGTTGCTGTCATGTGATTGGCTGATAAGATAATTTCGATTATAAGCAGTTTATCGAGTGTACCTAATAAAGTGGCCGGTAAGTGTGTTTCTGTGCCTATAGATCATTTCTTTCTTTGCAACAAATATCCTCCAATGAAGGTAATAAATGGTCAAAGTTTGAAAATAAGTACATCGCTGGTATGGCATTCAAAATAAACATCAATATCTTTTGTTTGTACATTTATTTATGTTACCTTTATTCATTTTGAGCATACTAATTTATAATGCACTGAAGCAAAACTGCATGTCTCACAGGACCTGAGAGAAGAGATCGATTTGTGTTTGTCTAAAGTGAATGACGTTCGCTATGAACCAAGTCTGCTCTCAAAAGATGACGACCGACTGAGGCATCAGGGCCAAATTGGTGAGAGGAAATAAAGACCCTTTCAGCTTTTCCCTATGAACAGTGTGGCAGAAGTGAACATACATCTGTGTTTGTGTTTGTGCAGGTTGTTATAATTATCTCTACAGAATGCAAACTTTAGATGCCATCAGAGACTCTGGTAAGACTTTCTTCTGCCTCTCTGCAGATCAACATCACACATTTCAAGCTCGTTCTGTTTGATTTGTGTATGTATTTTATTTTCTGTGAAATTTAAGCTTATTACATTTTTCACTTAAGTTTTTAGTTTTAGTTTAATATTTTTGTTAAAAATTTAGTTTTGATCTAATATTTTGGTGTGATTGGCTAAGGGGTATTAGCTAAACTATTAACCAATTATATAATAAGTAGCCTCAGCTGGGTCAGTTGGCATTTCTGTGTGGAGTTTGCAAGTTCTCCCCATGTTCATGTGGGTTTCCTTGCGGATGCTCCAGTTTCCCTCACAAGTCCAAAGACATGTATAGGTTAATTGAATAAGCTAAATTGTCTATAGTGTATGTGTGAATAGGAGTTCATGGGTGTTTCCCAGTGATGGGTTGCAGCTGGAAGACCATCCATTGCATAAAACACATGGTGGATAAAGTTGGAGGTTCATTCTGATGTTGTGACCCCAGATTAAAGGGACTAAGCTGAAAAGAAAATGAATGAATGAATGAATTAATATAATTATTATTATTGTTTTACTATAGTCACCCTTGTTATTTTTTGGCACTTATTTAGATTTAATTTTTCTGTTTAATCTACTTTTAGAGGCAAAAATGTAAGTTTCTGTTTCTGTTCCAGTTTTAAATGCTATTATGTTATTTCTGTTAACAAATGTTAACAAATATCTTTAGTATTTAATTTTTAAGTATTTATTTGATAAACAGTGTAGTAAAAAGTAGTAAATAACTGTTTATTATTTCAATCATAATCATCAAAGATTTAATTGAACACGCATGCATATAGTTTACTTAACAGTTAATGTAATCTTTATAAATTGCAGCATGTTATCCAGTATTTAATAAACACTTCATACATATTTATTAAACATTTATTTCAGAATTTAGTTTAATAGAATCGAACTGGCCACATACATTTTAACTAATGTAGTTACTAAAACAGAAAAGAGAACCATAAGCTAAAGGATTTTCCTAATTATTGGGGAACTCACACCAGCGACATCTGAGACCACTACGACTTGTAAAAAGTGGGAAATGAAAGTGTTTTTTATAGTTCTATTTCCTGCTGTTTTCTCATTGGTGGAAATTTTCTTTCTTATTTGTCCATCCACACAATAGCAGGCCCTATACAGAATCAACTTTCTGTCCGGTGTTGGATAACGGCCTGAAACACCTGCTATTAAAGGGACAGTTAAACCAAAATTTTTTATGTACTCAACATTTGCTCACCCTTAAGTGGTCATAAACTTTTTCATGTGCCCCCTGATATTCCATAACGTGATTAGTTTAAACTGCAATGTTTAAATCCTCGTGTGCTTCAACAATGTGCTGTGATGTTTAAGAATTGACATTTTAAGTAAAAAAATTTAGCCTAATGGATAGGTTTGTATTTTTTTCCCTACATTTGCGCTGAAACAACTTAGTATTTTAGAAGTAGGTGACAGTTTGTGACTGTTTGAATGTATTTGACCACTTGTGAGATTAGACTAGGGCTGCACAATATTGGAAAAAAATTGACATTGCGATGTTTTTTCCCTGCAATATATATTGCGATATATATATATATATATATACTTAACATAGATATATACATTAGATGTTGCCTGGCCTATTGTTGTTTATTGGACGGAATGCGTCAATAGCGCCACCATCTTGGTACAGGGTAGCGCTCCTTTGAAATGAATGCGGGACCAAGGTACAGTGGAGGACTGTGGCCATCCAAAGCCAGAGATGTACACATATATCTATGATCGTGAGTTTTCCTGGATGTTAGTATGTATTTTATTTTTTTCTAATTACACAAATTATAATTTTACATCACTTTTCTACATTGATGGATCAGTGACTGCATGGGCATTCCTTACAAAAAAGCTTGTGTTTGTGTGTACAGAAATGTACTATTCACCCTCTCTGTAAAATTTGATTTAATCATGTCCTGAAACACACCTCCTCTCCTGCTTTCACTTCTCATACTGACGGAGGGAGCGATTAGTTTGTGAACGACTCTCTCACTAGCCGACAATAATACAAGTTTCTGGCAGCGCAGCATCTCGTTGTCATATTTCTTTTGCATTGTTTGCTGATTTTATTCAACAAAACTAGCATAAGCCGTGTGTTTAGTGCGAGTTGGAGCTACTTTGCCTTATGGTGAATGCAGTAAGTGACTGTTATCATCAATAACGTTATCTGATTAGCACAAAAGTTCAGAACATACAAAAACGCAAAAAAACTTAATCTTACCTATGAAATGTTCTGCCTTTGTGCTTTGTTTTCTTTGTTTGCTTGTTTGTACTACACCTGTAGACAGCGATAAAGTCCAGCATCTTTACGTAATAACACTGTTTTGACTAGTGCGGTTGAATGACATTTGTCCTGGGAGCACTGTACCAATGTGGAGACATTATTGACGCATACTCAGGGTTCCTATGCGATATCTAGTGTATATATCTATGTATACTTAAGACTAGGGCTGTGACAACCGCGTCACTGCCGTGGTCAGTTGTGTTTTAAAGGTTTACAGGTGCACCCTGACATGACGCGGGGACCAGATCTCTGCTCTATTGCTTTAATTTTACAATTTTCATAACTGCATTGCATTTTCATATGGTAAAATATCAAAATGTATGTTCTGAAAGTAGTAGGAATGACGGGAGTGTTAGTAATTAATGACAGAAAGAACTTTCACTTTTGAGTGAACTTCTGTTACGTGTAATTTTAGTATGATGAAACAAAAATAGTAATGCAGTATTTTTCGCTCTGCCAAGTCTTCTCTGTTGCTGTGTGGAGCAGCAGCCTGCGCCAGTAACCTTTTACCCTGGCCCCACCCTGCCCCCCGACTCCTGAATTTCTCACTCACTCACTCACTCACTCACTCACTCACTCATGTGGGCATGCACTGCGGTCTCATAAGTAAACGCAGCTTTTTGATATAATGTTTTTCTTGTTCCCGAACAAATAATTTTTTAAAGTATTTGTTCTAAATAAGTTTTCATAAAAACACGCTATTTGTGCTTATCCGAATACCGTATTCGGGTTTGGCTCCACCCATAATATATATATATATATATATATATATATATATATATATATATATATATATATATATATATATATATATATATATACATACAGTTGAAGTCAGAATTATTAGCCCCCCTGACTTATTAGCACCCCTGTTTATTTTTTTCCCCAATTTCTGTTTAATGGAGGGAAGATTGTTTCAGCACATTTCTAAGCATAATAATTTTATAAACCTATTTCTAATAACTGATTTATTTTATCTTTGTCATGATGACAGTAAATAATATTTGACTAGATATTTTTCAAGACACTTCTGTACAGCTTAAAGTAACATTTAAAGGCTTAACAAGGTTAATAAGGTGAACTAGGCAGGTTAGGGTAATTAGGCAATTTATTGTATAATGGTGGTTTCTTCTGTAGACTATCAGAAAAAAAAAAAATTAGCTTAAAGGGGCTAATAATTTTGTCCCAAAATAGTTTTTTTAAAAATTAAAAACTGCTTTTATTCTAGCCGAAATAAAACAAATAAGACTTTCTCCAGAAGAAAAAATATTATCAGACATACTGTGAAAATTTTCTTGCTCTGTTAAACATCATTTGGGAAATATAAAACAAAAGAAAAAAAAATCTAAAGGGGGCTAATAATTCCGACTTCAACTGTGTATATATATATATATATATATATATATATATATATATATATATGTACATATGTATGTATATGTATATATGTATATATGTCAGTGTGTGTGTGTATATATATATATTAATGATGTATCGTGCAGCCCTAGATTAGACTGTGAAAGAAGTTGCCTTTGATCAGATTGTTTTGGCAGTGCAACCACTAATGTGGAAAAAATCCACAAAACACCTCATACTAAATCTGACCTAAGACATGATTTTAATGGAACTGTTATGAACTATTGTATACTTCTGGTTTTGCTTCAGAAAAATAATTATGTGCTAATCTTGTGAAACAGATCTGTACACCTACACAGTACACCTACAGTACAACTGTACACCTATGGGTTCAGCCTGATGTGATCTGCTTGTGTTTTGCCTTTAGATCTTCCGGTTCTGGACATGTCTCGCAGTGCGAGTGCTCTGACGGGCCGCCAGTACAAGAAGTGGCTGATGGATCTGCGAATCTCTCACTCTCTGGTCAAGTTCAATCATAGTGCACTTCTGGATCGCTTGCTGGAGGGTTATGACAATGCTCGACACGGCACTGGGGTCAGTCTGAATCTCAGTCTATGGCTTGAAATTAGTTTAAGGTCCTAAAATTAACATTCGACAAGCCCCCAATACTAGTAAAAACGTATTTAAAAAAAAAGCTTATTTAAAATAGCGTTACACACTAGTTAGTCAGAGAATTAATTTTAGTTAATTCCTACAGTCCCTACGAAAGTAGGATAGTGGAGGAGAAAAATCGATCTAATTTTTGGTGTACTATGTGATGGGAAGCTTCTTGGTTTAACATTTAAAAGAAGACAAACAAAAACAATTAAGAATATTAGTTTTGTTGTTTAAATTTTTATATAAAAAAATAATCATTAAAAAAATTAGAATAAAAAACCTTCAGATTTTTGTGCTGTCAAACAATTGATCTCATCCAAAATAAAAGTTTGTATTTTGATTTATAAAACCTAACCAGAAATCGAGGGTGTATGTGACGTCATTAGCATGGTGGTCTGTGTCACTAGTTTAAATTGCTTATTGGTGTAAAAATTATAGACAATATGTTTAATAACCTTTACATTAAAAGGTTTTGCAGAACCACATTGTTGCCTAAATGCAAACCTTTTTGGAATTTCTGATTTGAGCAGATTGAATGGAAAAAAGTTTGGAACTTACCTAGTCAATGTCTCGCCAATAAATTTAAAGAAGTGACATATAAACTAATTCATTTAATTTGTCCAATGAAACAAATTGTTAAAAAAAAATTTTAGAGACATGGATTCTGTGTGCACTTTTTGTGAATAAGAGGAGGAATCAACAAAACACCTGTTTTTTGAAAGCACATATACCCAAATGTTTTGGTTTGATGTTGAATATCTTATATTTAATCTTACAAAATAAAAAAATCAGTTTCTTGTAAAGATATTTTTTTGACATACAATAATAATAGTAAAACTTTGGAGCAAATTGAGTTTATTAATTTAATGATTATATTTGTGAAGTACCATGTACACAAACAAAAATGATCCAATGATAAACCTAACATATATTTGTTTAAAATTGATCTTAAGCATTATAACAAAACTCTAAAAGACATTAAAAATAAAAAAGTTCTATGGATGTATGCAATTTTGGAATCATTGTCTAATGCAAATTTCTTGTAATATATATATCCCGTCAATTTATTTATGTTTTGTTTTTTATTGTCTATTGTTTTGTTCCTTTTGATGTGGAAAAAATGTAAGCACTGTATTCCTCAATTTTTTTGTCTGTTATTGTTCTTGTTATGCAATTAAAAATCCAGTCAAAAAATAGTTTAAATTGCTTATTTCTTTTGATTTGAACATTCTTCTAAAGATTTGGGATCATTTAAATACATAAGTCAGCAAAATATATAACATATTTGAATAGGTTGTATATAAATTACATATTTCAATAATAATATTTCTTGATTTTTTTTGTTCAAATTGTGCCTTTTTTGAAATGCAGTTTTTAATTTCCTTCATGCGTTTAACAGTTTTGTCCAACAGAGGGCGCCGCAACACACAATACACATTGAATATCCTTGTGTTCTCTGTCCTGCAGGTGTTTGGTGAAGCAGAGTTTGTGAAGTATAAACAAGATCTGACTGAACTGGCTGCTCTGTAAGTTCTGCAGTCCACCGTTTTCTGTTCATGTGTCAAACGTTCACTTTTTTCACTTGCAACTGACTTGAGAAGTTTTGTAATGGCAATACTGGAAAAAAAATATTCAGCAAATATATTAATATTTAAAAACAAATTGTAAATATCCTTTTTTTTTTTTTTGCACTACTTGATTTTTATTTGCAGTTTGAGTTTCTCAAAACTCAATTGTCCCTTTCCAATTGTCCTCAATTGTCCCTTTGCGATTTTTATTTTTTATTATTTTACAATTTTTTCTAAATACTTTATTTTTTGTTTGCAAAACATTCTTTTATGTTGCAAGTATATATGGCCCTAGATTGACTCCATATTTTTTCTTCCCAGTGTGAAGAGTCACTCCAACAGCAGCAGTCTGAACCAGCAGCACCAGTCAGCAGCCAAAGACCTGACCAGCTCTCCCGGCCCATCGTCCACCTCCACCATCCAGGTCACCTACCTGCCGTCCAGCGGTCAGCGCAGCAAGAGGCCCAAACACTTTCTAGAGCTCAAGAACTTCAAAGACAACTACAACACACTGGAGAGCACGCTGTAGGACACTGGGTGAGTAAATCTTGACTGAAAAATCATCATCCACACAGTGGGAGATGCTGAAAAAAGCCCTCGAATAACTCTGAGAATGTGAAAAATGTGGCAGAAGAGGTGATGAAATCTGTGGGATTGATGTCAGCGCTGCTGCTTTGAGAACAATGCAAGAATATTGCGTTTGCTCATGTTATGTTTTCCTGTCAGAGTTTACAGGAAGATGCTGTTTTCTTGTGCTGAAAGTCAAAGCCACTGTTTAGCAGCTTTTCTTTATGTAAAAGGCCTTTTCATGTGAACTGGGAGAGTTTTGTATCTTTATTGGCCAAAGAGCACAAACAAAGCGCCCCGTTTAACTGAGATGATAAAACTTTCACTGCCATTGCTTATCAGTCATAAACGTATGGAGTCCATCTAGGGCCAAATATTCCTGCAAAATAAAAGAAAGTTTTGCCAACAAAAAGAGCAAAATAAAGAAATGCAAATCTCCAAAAATCACAGAGCCAAAATTACTTGAATGAAATGTGCAAAAAAAGAGCTGCAAATAAAAATCAAGCAGTGCAAATGAAAACTAAAATATTTGCTAAGTATTTTACAACACCTTTACCAAACCCGTCCAGTCGATTGCAATGCTCATCCTGATTTGCTTTTTAGTCAGCTGTGAGTTTGCCATGCTGTTTTCACATTGCACTTCACTTTTCTGTGCGTTCTGCCCGTGGCCTGCTATAAACACCCAAGTTCCCTTGACTCCACCCCCTTGTCAAAGCAGGGTCATTAAGTGAAAAGCGCAGAAATGTGCAAAGTGAAAACAGCATCGCAAACTCACAGTTGACTAAAAAGCCAATCAAAATGAGTATTGTAACTGGACAGGTTTTTTAAAGGCAATGTTATAAAAAAATGTTTTGCAGATATATATATATATATATATATATATATATATATATATATATATATATATATATATATATTAGTTACATTTTTTACATTTCTTATATTTTAGTTTTTTTACTGCTTAATTTTTATTTGCAGTTCTTTTTTTGTTTTCAAATTTCATTTTTATTTTTTTAAACTTAATTTTCCCTTTGCAGTTCTTTATTTTTGTTATCAAAATTAATTTTTATTTCTTTAATTATTTTTCGCTTTGAAATTTTTGGAGATTTGCATTTATTTATTTATTTATTTATTTTGGCTCAATACTTTTTTTTTTTTTTTTTTTTTTTAGTTTGCCAAACTTTCTGTTATTTTGCAGGTATATATGGCCCTAGATTGACTCCATATAATTGTGTTTTTTAAAAGCAGCTGTGCTAACCAACTGTTACACCAGTTTGTTTCATTAAAGCAACTTAAGCTTAAAGTGTTCAAATAGAATCATGCACCGGACATCATTCTAACAAAAAGTGGGAGAAAATCAATTGATTAGACTATTGTCGGTAATACTAAAGTGCAATTTTAATTTAGTTTAATTACAGTAGTTTATTTAAATATGTGTGTAGATATGAGAAAGAGTGTGGTTTGAGTTATGTATTGCTATGTATGTATGACTGAGAGACATATGTCAGTGTGGACTTTCACTGTGTTATAAATCTTCTTGATCTAATCAAGTGTCTGACTCTTCTGTGGCTGAACTGTAGAGCTCTATGTAATATGTAATAATGTCTTGTATTAAAGCAATGCTTTCCTCAAACCTAGTTTTTAATACTTTTCACATCATCATAACAATCAAATATATATATATATATAACTATATAGCTGGCTACATAATAATAATATATTAATTTTAATTTTGTTTGTATACATTTACAATAAGGATGTTTATAAAGGGTGCAGTGGGTAGCGCTGTCACCTCAGCAAGAAGGTCGCTTGTTCGAGCCTCAACTCGGTCAGAGGGCATGTCTGTGTGGAGTTTGCATGGTCTATCCCTGTTCTTGTGGGTTTCCTCAGGGTTCTTTGTTTTCCCCACAAGTCCAAAGACATGCGGTACAGGTGAATTAGGTAAGCTAAAAATTGTCCGTAATGCACGAGTATGAATGATCAGATTGGTGTTTTCCAGTGATGGGTTGCAGCTGGAAGGGCACCCGCTGCGTAAACATTTCAACGTTCACTCGGCTGTGGCAACCCCAGATTAATAAAAGGACTAAGCCGAAAAGAAAATGAATAAATATAAATTAAAACTAAATAGCATTTTACTATATGTAATATACGTTGTAATAAATTAATATGTATTGTTTTTACCATGTATATGTAGAAATTGCATGAAGTATTAGGTCATGAAAATTTAATTGAATGTCTTAGAAAAATCATAGAAAAAGTCATTGAATTTTAGTAGTAAAAATGTGCATGGACCCTGTACTTTTGTAGGAGAATAGTTCAATATTGTAATGCATTAACTTTCCCAAACACTTTTGTGTCCAAAAAATTAAATTTGCAGCAGTTGTCAGCCTAAATACAATAAAAGCCTAATAGGATATATATATATATTTTATCGTCTTCAAGATGCCACAACACTTACCATTTGACACACTTTCCTTTTTTACACAAAAAATTCAGGACAACGACATTAATGAAACTAATTTATTTAAATAGAACACACAACATACATTCATTCAAGCATCACAAACCACTCGTATCTACTACAAAAATATTATCATTATTATTATTAATACAAAAACAAAACAAAAGCTGCTAATATGAAGCGTTTCTGAGAAATTCACAAGGTTAAAGTTCACACAACATGAAAATATACACACAGCCATTTACAAATGTGATGGTGGATTAACATGGTAATGAAATGCATAATTTAACACCCCCGTCTGGGAGTATAAATAATCTCTCACCCGCTGCAGTTTAGTGACTGCTGTAAATGGCTGACTGGGTGAGTGTGCACTGGAGAACAGAGGTCACGCTAGTCTGAACTGGTCACTCAGTGCTGGACAAGTGTTACATTCTTGGAGACTTATGAAACGCTTTTAAAAGGCCCCTTTGTTTTTCAAGGAAGTGAGTCTGGACTCTCTCTGCTGTGTGGCTTTTGGTCGAGAAAGGTTTAAATATTTGTTGCAGTTCTCTGTTTTAGCATGAGTTAGTGTGTGTGTGTTGACTCGATGTCTCTGCTTCTGTTCTTTCAGCACTTCAGTTATCAGTTATTATTAAAGATAAAGGAGGAGCACTGCTGCGCTTCTGGACTCTTGCAATGAGAAATCAAATGCTTCGAAAATTTTATTAGCCACAGAAAATATTTCCTCACCTCGATTTAGATTTAGCAAAAAGAATATATTATAAAAATGTCTTAATCCTTCATTCTTTACTTCACATTCCTTAAAATAAGTTATTAATAAATGCTAGGTTCTATAATTCAATTGAAATATTCAGCTGTTGAAATAGATGGGATGATTTTATATTCTATTATTATATTGTATACCTGTTTATTTTCATATTTTAGCTTTTGAATAATAATAATAATTTAAAAAAGTATTTATTTATTTATTCAGAAGTCTTTTTAATTCATTTTATTAACTTCAATGGATTAAATCCAATTAAATTATATAAATTAATTGACTTGAATAAAAGTATTTTATTTCTAATTATTTTATTTACTTCAATGAATTAAAATCAGTTTTAATTAAAGAAACTAATGGGTTTGAATAAAATAAAATTATTTTTTAAATTTATTTTATTTACTTCAGTGGATTAAAATCTGTTTTAATTGAAGAAACTAATAGGTTTGAGTAAAATAAAGTCTAAATGAATTTTATTTTTACTTCTATGGATTAAAATCCGTTTGAATTATAGAAACTAATGGGTCTGAATAAAATATTTTTTGTCATTTTTTAAAAATTCAAAGTTCAAATGTACGACTAACAGGTTTGAATAAAATAAAATAAAGTGTTTTATTTACTTCCATTGATTAAAATGAATTATAGAAACCGAGTATGATTAAAATAAAGATATAAAATAATGTTTTGTATTTTTATATACTTCAACAGATCTACATTCAATTTAAATTATAGAAACAGTTCTGAATAAAATTACAATTTTTTCATTGATATTTACTTCAACAAATTCAAATCCATTTGCATTAAGAAACTAATGGGTATGAATAAAATAATACATTTTAAAATAAAGTTTTTTTGTTGTTGCTTATTTCAACAGATTCAAATCTATTTGAATTATAGAAAATAGCACATATAAAATAAAATGAAACCCAATTTCAGTCTACTACTGTTGCTCTAATTTACCCAGATTTTCACCTGTGATTTGTATCAGAGAAAAAGCCCCCTTCACTCCCCTTAGCTGAGCTAATCCAGAGATGATCAAGATTATGAGAGATAAAGAGGGTGTTTAACGTTACAATCTGTCCATTACTGCTGAGTAAAAGACATCGTTTTCAGAGGGCCAGCCTCAAATAAATACCTCCAACTTCATCTAGTTTCACAATAATGACTAAAATGACTTCTTCAATCTGTTTGTCTTCATATGCTCACTTTAACAGTCCCGCATTCATAGTCAGTGTCAATAACAGTAACAGACCTCTGCAATATTAGAAGTGAAGGCCTTCAGACAGTAAAGCTCTGGGTTTTAGTTTTTTCACGATTTAATTTCGATGACTTTGATGAAGGGCAGACTCTTGTTGCTTTGGCTGGATGGTCTGAGAGGTTTGCTGTAAAAAGACAAACATATGATTTGACTTAATGGGTGTTCTTGTGGGTTCGTTATCAAGCACACTGGACTATTTGCATGAAAACATTTGCGTACAGCTATCGGGACCGTTTGCATGTCTTACCTGTAGACAATCTGCGCATTGCTGTCTGATGGCAGGAATGAATTTGACCTTTGGCTTCCCAGGTAATAATCCATCTGGTCACGCATTTGTTTGTTCTGTTTGAGCAAAGCACATTCACAGGTCACACGTCACGCACAGATAAAAAAGGTGATTAATCACTCATAAGCAGAACAATGAGTTTTATTTATTTTGCGAGGACATTTTCAGTTCCATGTTAGTTGCCTTTAGTGAAACACAAACGTCCAGCACAATCAGTAAGAATGACTTGTTCAAGTGACAAACATTAAGCTTTTTGATATT